AGTCCACTGTGGCCTAAATAAGCTAAACCCCCCTCCCTTACCTTATTTAGGCCATATGTGGCCTAAATAAGCACTCCCAAAATAAAATTCACTTTTTTAGTTGGTATTCTGATTTCCTTTTAACTGAGACTTAAGTTGGTGCTGTAGGTTAAAGAAAACAGTTAAACTGAACATTTTGTGGTAGTTATTTACATAGCTTATAGAGAAAAAAATAATGTTTCCAGTCCGTTTTATCTAAAAATTGAAAACAGCCGCACAAAGTTAGCGTAATATACTCCCTGCTGGGTATTACCACAACAAAAGAAAAGCTACACGTGCAAAAAATTTAGTTCAACAGAAAATCAGTACAATGCAGAGTTACAGACAGGCCTTAGCAAAGCAGATACATGTAGATATTGGCTATATATATATGTGTACATGATGTATTATTATACTGAGTTGTCTCGTACAAAGAAATTTATAATTATTTTGAGAAAAAGATCATACCATCTAGAAATTGACTTGCATAGGGCATATGTAACAGAAGTGAGTTGCTTGGGTGCTAGTTATCCAAATGTTATACTCTAAGTCAGTTGGTGTTGTATGTAAAGTCTTATTTAGATGCTTTCTATGTCATCAGTTCATCTTCACTGCTGTCACTTCCAGAATCTGAAATCTCATCTTCTTCATCACAGGTATCATAATAGAGGAGATGGTTTTCATCTTTGTCTTCCTCTTGTTCTGTATCTGATCCTGACAAAATATCAACCAATTGTTGAGACCAAGTCTTTGCACCACTCCACTGAGAACACTCCACCGTTATCTCTCTTCCCAACCCTTGTGTCAAAATTCAAACTGTGTGTGAAATGTTGAACAAATGCAATCATCAGTAGAAAGACATCAGTGTCTAGGGACCGCATAATGATATCTGTGTTTGGAGTAGCAATGTTCTGATCAGAGTAGATGGCATGCACGATCAGTAGTGTGTCTGCTTTCTCGCGGCTGGAGGATAACTCTGGAACAGGTCTTGAGTCTGTAGTCTTTCCATCACTGCTACCGAGGACAAAGCACTGTTGGTCACTTGCAAAGTATATTTCTCTGTTCAGCAACATCATTGCATAACAATCTTGTTGCCATACATAAAGTAAGAACTGTGTCAGTTGCCTTTTGTTTTCATTATTCATGGAGCACTTTAAAATCTTTGATACTCTGTTTGTTATCAAGGTGGGTTCCACCTTAGAATTGATAAAACATGGGTCAAGCTGGGTTTTTTTTGGAATACGGATTGAACTTTTCTATGTTCTGTCAACCTCTGGTGTTGGCAGGGGAATGTATGGCTGCTCTTTGATTTCTCCTATGATTAGTCCATGAGTGTGTGGTTCCAACTCCTGATAAAGTTTCCTCATTCAAGTCAAAATTGTCCCAACAGAAGTGAGTGATGGGGTTGTTGTCAGGCATGATGGATGGGGGGCAAACTACCTGAAGAAACCTGTATACTGTCACACATGGCAGCTTCCACTTCTAAGAGAAATGAGTGGGATACAGAATGTCCATGCCGGTTTAAGATTATATATTGATCAGCTGAGTGTTTCCTGTTGAATGACGAACACATACCAATCATAATATGTTTAGGCTTGTTCCACTCCCCTTTTGTCACATTGTAGCATATGTCCTGACCTGTAGAAACAACTCTCCTGTGGCATCTTGTTTTCCATTCTTGGAGTAAAGAAAGGAAAGAAATATTGTTAATACTTGTGGTATCTGCAAAGTTTCTGTGCGCGGATCTGTGTCTGCTGGAAGCTGAGGTAACTTTTGACTTTAATTGCATCCATCAAGAACTGGTCGTCGTATCACCTTTGCCACTTCTATAACAAGTCTCTCTTCACAGGTTACATTTTCCAAGGCAACTCCGACAGCCTGCCCAATTGAAATTTCGTAAGAGTACACGAGATCACTTGTCCCAGAATATCTCTGCCAGAAGTTGACCCAGGACTTGAAGTGCTTCACAAGTTTCTCCCCAACTTATAAGTCTTGTAGTACTTGTAAAACTCTGGATAATTTGTTTGCAGGAAAGTGCAATACATCTCTTTCAAAAGACTAATCCTAACAACAAGGACCAGTGCAGTGACATGTTCTTCCACAAACTGACGGACGTGCTGAAAAGCCTTGGAGTGGGCTTCTTCCTCTGCAGCTGGAGCTTTCTTTCTTTCTTCAGCTTCTGCCTTTTTTTCTCCAGAACAGTATTTAGATCATGTAGAAGCTTGTGAACGTCGATCCTCCTTACGTGTGTACTGTAAGCTTTTCTTCATGGTTCATGATACCATGCCTCTTGGGCAATGAGAACAACATTTTCAGTTTCGACCCAAAGTTTTGAGTCAGATTTCCTGTTTACAGCTTCTTTTTTTTTTATAGAGGCTTCAGATGTTCTGGTAACACATTTGACAAGTTTATGAACTTTCTTGGTTCCCTTGCTGTCATGTGTCCATTCAGTAGCCTTTTCACAGAAAGGTAATTCAATGGGCAAGAGGCGTGTTGAAAACGATTGCTTTACTTTTTTCCTAGTGGAGCAAGACCCTTCTTGTGCTGATTTGTCAGACTCTCCTGATGAATGCCTTTTTCTTAGACTCCTCAAATTGATAAATGTATGGTAGCAGTAATCATGAAACCCATGTTGAGCAGAGTCAAACTCAGTCGGTATTCTTTCACAAATTGAGGATAGTCTATCAATCACTGTCAGTTTCTGCAAGACACTGTTGTGTTTTTTATTTTTGAATGGTGTCCCAGCGCCTCTCAGTGAAGGGTTATATTTCATCATGGCCTTTGAAGTTACAGTTATGCACTGCACATGTCCTTTCTTCAAGCTGTTCTTTCTTTTAAGATTTAGACCTCTCTTTCTTTGATGTCAAGGGAACTGATTTCAGTTCTACCTAGCTTAATTTTGAACATTCAATTAATTCTCTGAAGCATACTCATATAAAGAAAATTGTACATTGCTAGAAAAAACTGACTTCAAATTTTTCACCTGTCTTCTTTCAAATTAGCTTTAACTATCAAAATGTTTTTCAAGACACCTTTATCACGCCCATATTATGATTGATCTAGACAATATCTGAGACAAAAATACTCATGCCGCCTTTTTGACGTTTTAAAAATGACGCGCGGCAGTTTTGTATTTTTTCAAAATAGCAAGGGTCATAACTCCTTAACTCATATAGCTATTTTGCACAACATCCTTCTCATTTTGTGCCTCAAACTTTGAGTCAAAGTGTTTTCCTATCAGAAAACTATTGCACCGGGTTATAGAAGATCTGAAGCAATGGAATTAATCTTTTCTATAGATTTTGAGAAATCTGCCTTTGAATTTTCTTTTTTCCTCTTTGCATCTTGTAATTAATTATTTTAAAAAATTTTTTTTCTACAACACTTACATCATCTTATAATATTTGAGTTTTACATCATATGAAAGTACACATTTTTGGCTTCACAGAAAAACCCAAAATAAAAATCAAGTATTTTCTTTTAATTTCTGGACAATCAAGGGCTATAACTCTGTAGATAGTCAACATCTTGCTGCAAACTTTTTTTTGGGAAGTCCTTTGGTGCTACCCTTTCAGAAAATCATGGTGGCGAAAAATCCCCGGGGGGGGGGAGGTTCACTCCCAGTTGCCCATAGCCTATTTCTTGTCCACTTTTCATACCCTAGAAAATCCAGAAGTTCAAAGGAGAAAGGTGATGTGATGATTGTGACCTCAACCACGCTGGTGAAGGACTACAAATGAGTATATTATGAACAATGTTGACAAGCTTGATCAGAACACCATTGTCGTGAAGAAGAAAAAGGAGTATAGGTGGCCCACGAGATTTTTCATAAAAGCTTTGGAATTCGAATGGTCACTGAAGAACACATTCATCCTGATGAAGGAAGACCACACTGCCAGAGACAAACCACCCCCCAAGGGTACGACATACAGCAGTTTTAGAAAGATGTAATGTTGTTTCTGAGATTACTGGATAAAGAAGGAATGTGAAAAAAGTACACAAGAAAGCACTGGAAGACAAAAAGCTAGATGAAAGAGTTCAGCACACCCTCATTGTTCTATTGCAGAGACAAATAATAAAAGAAGTGTTGTCTGTGAGAAGAGGTTGCTCTTAGCCCGTAAGAAAAAAAGGAGGCCCCACCTACGGACTGAAAAGCATCAAAACAGCATTCCAAAGCGCTGGGTGTGGTGTCTTTACATAAAGAAAATATAGTAGTCAGATGGAAGCTGTGTGCACTCTCAAAGCAGGGAGAAGTTCCATACTGCTATAGAGTACTGGGGTCCGCATTCATGAGAGATCCCAAACAACCCTCCCCAACCCCACTTGACAACAGACACCAGTCCCTGGACCATCAGGCCAGTAAAAACAATTGCCATTATCATTATTATCCAGTTTTAATTTTTATTGAGAAAAAATTGACAAACTCGATACTACTGGGGTTTTTTTTTTGTGTAGAGGAAATTTTTCTTGTAATTTTGTAACGCACAATAACTGTAAGATACAGTGTTTATGGCATATTTCTTGGACTACTGAATGTCTCAGAATTACACATGGATTATAATCTCATTTTGGATTATAATTAGCAGCACAAGACAGCAAACAGCAAATAAACAAGCAACCAAGGTAAAGAAGCATTTTACTCTTTTGTATTTCGTACATAAAAAAAAAAAAAAAAACCGCACCAAAAATGACAAAATATACATTTTACAGAAACAAAACATACACCATCTGAATCAGCATCCAATTCCTTTCAGAATATATGTATAGTTTTGTATGTTCCCCTTTTTAGTATTGAACTTATAAGCAATTTTCGATGACCATCTAAAATTTTCCACTAAAGTCTCAGGGAAGTGCAAGTTCTAGGAGGAAACTGCTCAAGGGAAAATAATATTTATTATTTTTCAATCATTCACTTTTGAACGCAACATGACTAAACAAGCGAACTTGTGTTTCACTTAAAGCATTTAACGCAAGGCATGCACACAAAATTTTTTTCTCTACTTCATGAATCAACATTCACAGCTTTTAACGCAACAAAATACATCTTTTTCTTGTCCCCTGTGTTCAACCTTTCAGTTCTAGTCAAATTTCAAGCTAAAGATAGCTATCTATCCTCAGCAGTGTTTACGTAGTTGCCATTTTATGGACACCATACTTGCTAGTCACCATTAGTTTAGTAGGAGTTTTACAGCGCTTGCAACTGCATAAGGTCATATGAGCATTAGCCACCATTACAATTTTTGACACACAAGGAACCCAACAAGTAATGCCGTATACCAAAATGTGAAAAAAAATGAAACACATTTCCTGGGTATTATGAATTTCTTTTAATTTATTTCTCGATTTAAAAAATCTCTCTTTATACAGTAACCTATCTTTAATAATTAACTGTCCACTAATGTTTTAGTAATGCACAGTCAAATTTTAGGGTTTGAAAAACTCAAGCCAGTCCTGAGGGATAAAAATGATTTTCTACAAAGAAAAGCAGTAAAAGTTAAAAATTTCTCCAGGATCAAAAGCTGGGCTTTGTGTGTAATGGTCTCTGTAGACATAGTTAAAAAAAAACCCCCGATGCTTGTACAAAGGCTCTAATACCATGTTTATAGAGGCGTTCCTTTTCACACATTGGTAAAAACCTGCCGTAAGCGAGGCTAGTGATATGATGGGAGGCGGTATAACGAGGTTTGACTGTTTTTGTTTTTTTTAAGCATAAAAAGTGACTTGTGTGCCCGTCTCTTCCTTTGCTATAACATGGGCCTCACTGCTTTCACTTACAACACACTACATGCCTAGAAAGAGAGATCTTCTCAAAAACAAAAAACACCAACATAAGTAAAAGTAAAGTATAGCCCCCCCCCCCCCCCCCATTATTCCAAACTATTTTCATTGTGCACAACAACTGGGATCACTGCAGCAATGATGGCATGTCAAACAGGAACAAGAAACAACCCATTATGATTGTTGCAAAGACATGGGGAGGGGGGGGGGGCGCATACACTTTACATTTTCTCACACTTGACTAGTCTTATCTTTGGTGAATCACAACTTGAGGGTGGTGGAGTTCTGTTTCTGGGCATTGTAGATGAATGTGTTGTTGATGGGGACAAACTGTCCTGTCAGGATCTTGATCACCTCCTGAGCTGCCACGCCCCCCATGAAGGCTGACACCGTGTGGAGTTCTGATGCTCCGAATCGGCACCTGAGGACATGAGTTGTGCCGTTTATGATACCTTATAATATGAATATAAATTGAATTTGTATAGCACATACACCTGCTCAATAACAAGCTCTATCGCTTTACACTATATTATTACCCTAGCAGACCGTAGAACACTCAGAAACATTCTCAGCTTCCTGGGAAGCATTCAGTGCAAGCAGTTGATTAACTCATTCACTACGCCGAGAAGAGGGCAGCGGCATGGCGGAAATGACTTCCGTACGGCAAGCCGCCCCCGACGGCTTGAGAACCGACCTATAATTCTAGCTTAAATTTTATCCCGGATCCACATATCCAAGTCAAAGTAAAGGTTATAATATAACGCTGACTTCCGGGTCAAGCGCTTCCAACGAAAATCGGAAGTTTTGATTCAGTTTTGAAACATGATTTTGAAGTTTATGCGACTTTGTTTTATAGCGATGCCCAAATTAGAGTACTTTTACACACATCAAAATGTATCATTATTTTGCGTACCAAAAAAAAGTAGGATTCTTCTTTAGAATATTGATACTATATTTGTAAAATGGACTCAACTTGCCATGGCTCTGCTATTGTTATTGAGAAAACAATATTTTTCAGTGGTAGATCTTGATCTAGATTCAAAATAGTAAAAATATTTTTGTTTATCCCCCAAATCACTTTTTTGGGGGTGAAATTACACAAAAGGTACCACTCAAGAGATGTGTAGGTTTATTCCAAATGCAATTCTGAATAATTCTATAAAAGATACGTGTTTTTTGTGTCTGTGAACACATCTTGTCCTTGTAATAAATTTTTTTTTTCAATATCGGATGCTATGATAATGTATGTAAATAATTGCAAATTTTTCAATATTATCCAGTATTATATTCATTTATGGTTATTTTGATGTTGATGTATCATTTGACTAGGTGCAAACATATGTGAGGAAGCGTGTTGGAATCAGGCTCTCGTCATTTTTTGGGCATGTAGAGTTATTTGTATCATCTTAAAGCTTGTTCACTTGTCTACACTTGGAGGAAAAAAATATCCATTTGTTTTGAATACAGGTCAAGTTATTTGCGAAAGAAGGAGGTGGGGGGGCCACCTGTTTTCAGAGGTAAAATTAGTGAGAAAATGGCCACCAAAGATTAGTTATTTCCTTAGCTTAAGAGTCCGTGGTAACAGAAAATTTACATTTCTTGTGCATTTAATGAACGTTTTTCAGAAAAACCCACTCAGAAATGAGTTCTTTAATGGGCAAGAAATGTGTTGAGCCAAAATACAAAAATTCGATAAAAATTCACAAACCAGCGGAAAAACGCAAGTTTCTTCATTTTGATAATTTTGACGAGAGCCCGATTCCACCACGCTGCCTCACATATTGTTTTTAGTTTCACCAAAGATAATTAATATTTTATTTTCAAATTTTATCTGCACCCAAAGAAAATAGTCTTGCATAATTGCCTCTTACAGGCACAAAGGTTGAAAAATGCACAAATAAGCATTACAGATGTACTCCACAAATCATACTGAAAATTTCGGAGTATAATATGTTGATATTTATTTGAATTTGAGGCCCCAAAGACCTTTGAACTGCGCACTAGTCAACATCTCATTCCGTCCTCTCGTCCACAAGCCCAAAATAATGTGCAGTGAATGAGTAAAGCGCTCAAACACTAACAAACTGATAAGATCTTTCGCTGTCTATAACTGGGAACCCATTGCCACCTGTATGAAGTGAGAAAAATTTGTGTAAAGTGCCTTTTCTAAGGACACAACGTCAGGTCCCTGGGGATTCGAACCCACGACCTAACGGTTGCGAGTCTGAGAGCCTAACCACTAGGCCACCTATGAACATCACATATTCGAGCAAACCGTATGGGTGGTTGGTGAGCACCACTGTAGCTGCTACAGTTTTTTTACATATATAACTTTTAAATGTGACAGTTTTGAGCAAACTGGACAGCAGATTTGAGTTCCAGTAAAGAGAAAAGTGCATCGAAATGAAGTCCTTTTGAGCATGGAAAAAACCCCTAGAAAGATCACAGAGAAAGAGACACTTCCATCCATTAAAAATTTCTGAGTTGATTTTCTGCATTTAGTAGGCCTTATTGTCTTTTCAATTAAGATGATCATTCAACAGCATAGAAAGCACTAAATCTACTGTTAATAGTAGTTAGTGCCTGTCCTATCATGCTCTGCTCCTAATGTCATGAGGTGGACAACCCTGTATCCTGCCTCATAGTAGAACTTTCTAAGCAGGCTCTTAAGTTACGGCAAGACCATCAATCTTCTAAACAAAATATACATTACTGTGCAACATTTCCACTATATTTTCTGTCTGTCAATCTTTGTATTTCTCTGCACTAAATAAAAATTTACTGTTTCGATCGTAAGTGCTTTCTTTTACTCAAACAAATGACCACAACTCACATTTCCTGCACATAGTCGTCCTTGATTGTCGAGGAGAAGCCCCAGTCATGTAACAGCTTATTCATGCATGACTGACAAGGAAGAAAAAAGAATTAACTGATTAAACATCAAATCATGGTACAGCATTCATGACTACTTGAAGGCAATAACAAACCATCCCCTCTCATCACAAACTGCACTCTCAAAATCTGTGCTAGAAACAAAGAACTTAACATAAATATAAAGAAATTGTAGCATTTTCTTACACACAATGCTATTTTAGCAGGTTGTCTTAGCGCAACACTTTATTTCCCACTTGGGTAACATGTCCTGGTGATCCCCTATATTACAGCAAAAGAAACTCGATATTGCTGGACATTTTTTTACCAACCATCGGGACCCTGAACCAAGCCATGAACCATGAAAAATGGCAACGTTTCATGAACCCCCCCCCCCCCCCAACATTTTTAATGTCCTTTATTTTTATATGATGATGTTGTTCTCTGATCAAAAGTAGTTTCTTGAAAATTATTTAGAAACAAACAAACAAACCCAAAACCTCCTTAATCGAATGAAAGTATGAATAAGAACACAAAAGTTAGGCCACAATTCTGGTGCACTATCAATAATACATGCTGATGCTTTATTTTTAATAGAGACCAGTTACTTGGTCAGAACACAGCATCATCAATATATATGACTGCACTCTTTTGACTTTTCACGGAAACCAGTCCAAATTCAGCGAAATCTTCATGAAATACCACTAGAATCTGCTTGAAGAAGACAAACCCATCCAGCCACCTACCTTAAGCCTGGGAATGTCTGCCTCCATGGTGTTGTCGTAAGCACCGGGGTAGTGGTTGTACTCGGAGAAGAATCTGTCAGCGGCTCTCAGCATGATGTACAGCACCGTCTCGTCTCCCTCCGTGCTTCCCTCCTCCTCCTCCTCCACGACATGGCGACCTGTAAAACAGCCAGGAGGGGGGGGGGGGAACTTGTGTCATGTCAGGACAACAAGGAGGTGTAGGTTTTATATATGTCCCCCTATCTCTCATTATTTCTCTCTTAGATTCTCTACAATTGCTCTATTATGTAATCTCTACTCCTCTCACAGCCCTTTCCATTTATCACTTTTTCTGTCCGGACTTGGATGTCTATAAGATTGGCAAAAGAAAGGTTTATTTTCGTGGAGTAAAAGCTGTGGCGGAGAATGCCAGTGCGGGCTTTCAGATTAAGATTTATAGGAAAGAAAATGAGGGAATCAACAGGAGTTATTGCCAAACATGACACTACAGTTATTTTGTAACTTGCTTATTCCTTAGAAATATGTTCTAGAGTCCAGTGTCAGAACGCTCATTAACCTTCTCTATAGTGATAAACTACTGAAAATTGAAAAGATCATGAGAAAAAGAAAGATGACTATCGGTATCATGCCCAATGGTACATGATTTTGCACTTTCTCGGATGCTTGCATTGTATGCTTTCCAAGAATCCAAGAATGTTTCTGAGTGTTCTAGGGTCTGCTGGGGTAACAATAGCAATAAAGCGCATACAGAGTACTGTAGGGAACGGATAAGCGCTGTATAAATGCAATTATCATTATCATTATAATTATTATGAACACCACCAGTAACTAGAAAAAGAAAAAAAACCACTCTTGTGTCCCCACTTACTCAATTCCTCCAAGTTGGCTGTTTCAGGACAGTACTCCTCCTCCAGACTGCGACATCTCACCACAGTCAAGAAAGCTGAGTTCCTACCTGGGAAAACAAACACATCACACATCATTAAATTAAAGGAAGAGAAAATAATGGGACAGACTGTCTTATGAAGGAAGAGAAAATAGAGTGGAGTCTCCTTAAACTGAAATCTCTGGAACCACCAGATTTTCAGTTAAAGAAAAGTCACTCAAATACTTAAAATAGTGCTGATTGTCAACAGTGTAGACCTGAAATTGCCATGTCTGCTGCAAATTTCAATTTTGAAATATTTTCTTTAACCTCTTTTAGTAACTATACTATTAACAAAAAAAACAACAACAACAAACAAACAAAAAACCCCCCAAAAAACAAATTAAAAAAAAGAGGAGAAAAGATAAGGACAATAGATGTTTCATAGGAAAGAAGGAGCCAACCACCCACTGCTTAGTCTTAAAACACCTTAGATGTTATAGAACAAAATGCATAAAACGAAGGAGAGCAACATTCCTTTACTTTTTGAAACTTGATCTTTGACCCTCTTTGGCCGTCACTGACATTTGTTTTTAAGTTGTCGTAGAGATTTTTACGGCGCTCGAAACTGGATAAGGTCATATGAGCGCCAGAAGATTAGAGGTGTTACAAGAGAGTAACAAACATAAAAAAGAAGAAGGGGAGATAAGGACAATAGATGTTTGATAGGAAAGAAGAAGCAAACCACACCAGAGCACCCGCCAACCACCCACTGACATTTGTTTGTACAAGTAAAGGGAAGCACATTGACACAATAACGGTTATTTGATACAGAAACAATAGAAGGACAGTGAAGTAGGATCTACTAAAAGGCACCTGCCAACCCCACCCAGACGAGAAAACATGTCTCGTTTAATAAGAGTTTAAATGCCCTTGCAACACAATCAGGTCATATAAGTGCTGTGGAGGTGTTACTAGAGAGTACCAGACAAAAAAAGAGAGGAGCGACAAAAACAATAGACGTCTGAGGGTAAAGAAGAAGCAAACCACACCAGAGCACCCACCAGGCACCCACTTATGTGTCCCCCCAATACTTACAGAACGTCTTGACCTCGTCATCAGTGATTGTTCCAGGCTGGGGAAACACAAAAGACAACTCCTGAGACACATGGTCTGTCTGACACATGTTCTTACAGATGGTAAAAAGCCTATATATGCTGTGTGTCAGATTTCTCAGCAGTAATACTCAACACATACGGTATGAAAAAACAACAAGGTTTCCATATATATGTAAATCTCTAAATTAAGCAAGAAATATCCAGCATTGTACAATTGAAGAGACATTACCTTCCAAATAAGCACAAAAAATATCTGCCAAGAAAGCGCTTCATCCACAATTATTTTGTACACCTCTAAATAGATCTTCAAAAAAAGTTTTTTAAATGAAAATTATGAACAAGTGGCCTCAATTATGAACAACTGATCATACAAAAAGTCTCATGGTAGCAATAAAACTCTCAGACAATAGACAAGACAGAATCTTTAAACATTCGGGAAAGAAATGGGAATCCCTACAGCCCTTTCTATTAGTATACTATTTCCAAAGTACATATTACATTTTAAACAAAACCAAGAAAAAAAATTAAATTAAAAAAATAATTAATACAAAGCCGTTCTAAATGAAATTCCTGTTGCCATGAACAGATTTCAAATCCTTGGCTTCCCCCCCCCCCTCTCTATGCTATGCCTTGCAAGTTTTCTTAACATGAAATTAGCTTTATTATTAGGCAACCAAATTCTCTGGTCCTATGAAGTTTATGTTATCAGGGTTTTACTGTACCTCTCAAACATATTAGGGATATTTAAAGTAACATATTATCTGATCAGACAGTAAAGTTGAGCTTGGCAAACGTGAAAGAAAGGTATGGTCTGAGCAGTGTGTTACTATGGTACCTGCCGTAGAGTTTTGGCCAGTAACATTTATGCACACAATGGTGCACGTGCACTCTGCTCTTTGCTCTTTACAATAAAAGTTTTCTTTTTTAACGAACACTTCATTTTCAGTGCAAATATTCAAACTCTATGATTGACGACACACTTTAAGCTCCACAATGTACAAGTTAATATTTTCAATAATAGGCATAGGATTTTAATCCTCACTCCTGAAGGTTGCCCCTTGTGAAGATGCAAAAAGCTCCCTTCAAGCATGCAAGCTCCACCACAGTGCAAGGAGAGGGATAGGCTCATGCTAGTCACATACACAGTGTGGTATACTTGGGATAAGCATAGGGAAAAGAGAGAGAAAGAGAGAAAGAGAGAGAGAAAGAAAGAGAGAAAGAGAGAGAGAGAGAGAGAGAGAGAGAGAGACAGAGACAGAGACCCAACAGTGGTCATTTAGTGCAAAAAGAATAAAGCAGACAGTGGAAAGAGAAAAAAAGTAGAAAAGAAAAGCTATGCCTACTGTAAACCCGATCTGTAAAATTTAAGTAGTATTACATACTGTCCATAAGGAATGATATATTATCATATCAGGCCATGCGTATGGATGAAGCAAACAGAAAAAAAAAGTCATCAGAGAAAATCAGTTGTCATTTTTTCCTTCAAAGCTCAAAGTATCATAGGATCACAAATAAGGCAGAAGACCCATATTCAACTTCTGGTGCATATTTCTCTAAACATAAATAAATAATAACAAACCATTAGCCGTTGACCACTACCTGTAAACATAATTCAATTACCAAGGTGAAAATTGAAATTTGAGGAAGGGGTGGGGAATCCCCTTTGTATACACAACGCCATAAAAAACCCCTCTTAACAATAATTCAAAGCCAAACATGTATATATCTCATATTGAGGCTTTAAATACAACTTTGTTATTTTCTTAAGTGACCCAGTCTCTTGCAGTTTCAATCATTCGTTTTATAAAAATTTTTTTTTAGGTGCATTCTCTGATCTGAGCATGGCATACCAGCCCAAAGGGCAGGCACTTACTGAAACGAAACAAACCAGGCAGAAACTGAGGAAAAACAGAATGTCCCCAACAGCCCCAGAAACACAAACAGCAGAGGGAGGGAAGTGCTGTGGACACCGGGGGGGTGGGATGTGGGGGGGGGGGGGGTGTTTCCAGGTGTCTGCATGAATAATAAAATCCGGAGGAGGAGCTAGGAGCATTTCGTTCTGGTTACACAAAGAAAGCAGAACAGTTTCAGTCAAAAACCCTTGACATGAACCAAAAAAATAACTATTGCCCCTCCCCCAGCAAGGTAAAACCACAGTGAATCGTTTCAGTCAAAAACAAATCAATTGAGACTTGGTCTGACAAATGCAATGCGCCCACATCTAACGTTTAAGTTCAGATTCAAGATTTTTATTCCAGTAAGGAAAAGCACATCATCACTAGAAGGGAAAGTTAGCACTAAGAAGACAGACAGAAAAAAAGAAACAGAGGGGAAGAAAAAGAAGGATCTACAACAAGTTGTGTGCCCCCACTGCCATATGCTAGAGTCACGGAGTAAACCATAACACTTCACATGGACGAACAATAAAAATTTCTTTGGAGCATACAGTGAGCATCAGCACTGGTTTTTTACATTCTGACTTTTTATTATGCTTCCAACAGACAAAAAAAAAATGTAAGGGAAAAAAACGCAGGGTCCAGGAGAAATTGAAATTCTTTGCTTCTGGAGGGTTGAAAAAGGCATTTGGGAACGTGTCTGAAGAGACAGCCGAGTTTCCCTGGTGAGTCAGTAATATTTTCTTCCATATGGTGTGTTATAGAAGAGACTTCCCATGCAAAATTAAGTGTGGATTTCTGTAAAAATATGGAAAATTTTAGTTTTAGTAAGAGTTTTATGACACTTGCAACACAATTATGTCATATAAGTGTCTAAGTTTCGAGGTGTTACAAGAGACTAAAAAACACCAAAAAGAAGGAGAGATAAGGATGGTAGATGTTTGAAAGTAAGATGGGGTAAACCACACCAGAGCACCCACCAATCACCCACATTTGTAAGATTGGGAGAACAGTACTTTGAGCTGTATTTTTTTTTTGGCATGGGAACACATGGGAATTAGCTTGAAGTGACAGAGTAAAATTACCATGGGCAGGGATAAGAATTTTTTTTTCTCTGTGTTGTTAGCATTTTACAGCACTTTCAACACAAATAGGTCATATAAGTTCTGAGGTTTTACTACTACAGAATAACATACAAAAGAAAAGGAGGAGAGACAAGGACGAGGGATGTTTGATAGGGAAAGAAGGAGGAAAACACACCAGAGCACCTGCCAACCACCTACAGAGAAAAGAAAGGACAAAATGACAGACACGAGCATCAAACGCAAATATTTTAGACAAGCTGGACATTTTGCTGCTTTATGGCGTTCTTGACAGAATATAGCACGCAGCATCAATAATTTCCAAATGCCTCATCTTTGGGGATTCATTTCAAAACCTGAGCTGAGCTTGAAAGAGTTAACAGAAGCATTACCCAACCCCACATGTGACTCTTCTTAGTTTTAGTAGAGGTTTTACGGCGCTTGCAACTGCATAAGGTCATATAAGTGCCAGAAGATTAGAGGTGTTACAAGAGAGTAGCAAACATAAAAAAGAGGAAGGAGAGATAAGGACGATAGATGTTTGCTGGGAAAGAAGGAGCAAACCACACCAGAGCACTCGCCAACCACCCACAGTGACTCTTCACTGAGTTAAAAAAAGAAAAAGGAACATTCAGGTCAACATCAGTCTCAAACCACTTCCTCAACAACCCAAAGTTTCCAAACAAAGCAAAGATACAAGGGACAGTATTTTGCAGACATTATTCAGTTATGGCAGTACAAGTTGGTATGTTTGAGTAGAGGGAAGCACATGAACCTAATGACCGTCATAATTGTAGTACAGGCAAAAAGCAAGAGAGACAGAAACAAAAGAAAAAGGACCTACTAGTGATGCCCTGTAACCACCAACACAAGGAGGAACAGCAAAAAGTAACTAACTTGAATTTTACCACAGGACACACGCTATCATTCTATCGCCATCATTGGAGAAGTGCAGCGGGGAAAAAAAAAATCCGGTGGTTTATTTTTTTTCCCCCACGAGACTTTACAGACTTATACACTACACCACAACATTGTCCCAGACATAGGAGGCAAATGTAGCTTATTTCTTTTAACACATTTTTAGAGCCAGATTTAAAACAGAGATTGGTAATCATGGTTTGCCACTCCTATCTCTGCTCAATTGCAGTAAAAAAAAAAGAAAAAAAGAAAAGTATAATAATATTATCCAGATAGTATCCCCGTCATCCATTTGTTAAGGTCCTCTCCCTAAGTTATTCTTCATCTACTTCTTTCTCTTTTGCCTTCTATTGTTCCAGTGAGAGCAAGATGTTTACTTTGAGTTTGAGCACTTTGAGTAGTAAAAATGATGTCATGCAAATTTTAGTTCAGTGTACATTGACAGAAAGCTCGGAGAAGCAATAAATTAATAAATACACTTATTATATATTAAGTATTTCACAAAGAGTATGTGCAAATTATGATAAATATGTGTAAGCGGCACCTTACTGTATATCAGTCAAATTTTCAGTCAAGGGTTTTTGACGGACTAGGACAAAATGCACCTGCAGACTCTTCGAAGACTAAGCTTAAAAATAAAAGGAATGAAATGAAACACAATAAAACAAAACTGAGAAAGCAGCTGACCTTTCTATTTTTATCAGGGTGGAGAGGCTCATCCTATGAACAAAATGACAAATTAAAAAGTGTCATTAGGTGCATCATTTTTCCCCTTTGATACGTAGGGCTATCAAAAAAATGACCCACCGCGGGCAAGCAAACTGTCCAGATCATGGGCCATCTCCTCCATAGGTCCATGGGCACCGGGCCATAGTTTTTAGAAATGGACATAGCGGGCCAGGTAACCTTACTTTTCTTTTATGAAGAAATTACAAAATATAAACAACAGTATAAAAAATGCTATAACAGTTTTAACTCTTTCACTACTCCGAGTCGTGTATCACGGCTCTTGTTACTCCCAACGCTGGACCGCGAGGCATGTTTCACGGCTTGTCACTTCCTGCTACAAAACCACGTCTACTTTTGTAATTACTGAATCTGAAATCTCAGACTGAAGAATGATCATTTTTAGCAACATGCTTTTAAATTCATTTATATAATACATGTGGGTAATATTGAAAATTGAACTAAAAAATCTTTAATTTGTCAGACGGTAGGCAGAATAGAAAGTAAGTCACAGATAGGGCCCGGTTCAGGTGAGGAAAACCCCTCGTAGTGAAAGATTTTATAAAACCTCAAAAGACCTTTTTAGACGCTCATATTCATTAGCTATTAATAAAAGGTCACAGCAAAAACCAGCCTTGGCTCAAGGACAGTGACAAATGCGAACACTAAAGAAAATTAATTTGTGTGTAGTTTATATATTTTTTTTACTTCATTGTTTTTTGCGAACCCCTGACCAGTTCTATCTCATGGACATAAAGACTTCACTTTTCTGCAGCTCAAACCACCGGCCTAATCCAAGAGTAAGAGGAAGCTACCAAATAGTGATTATAGGCAGCCAACACGATAACAGTTACATTTTGCCCAGAAAACGTCATGTGTTTATTCATGTGTTTGTTACAGTATTTGTTGGAGTAAAAACAAGCACATTGAAACAACATCCTTCAATGAGAACACAAAGAAAGCAAATGAGGCAGAGCTGGAAGAAAGAAAAGAAGTACTGATAGGACCTAACTTTGGGCTGCCACATAGTGCAAATGTGTACCAAAACAAGTAACTTTAGGAAGTTAGCTATGTGGAGGAAACAAATGCCTTACTAGACACAAATAGTAAATAGGCTTATTATTTCTTCCCTAACTACAACGCATGATAACGAGATCAGTGTTGCTAAATAGATGAAACCCATTAACTGTTGCATGAGACAGAAAGAGTTAAGAAAACAGATTTTATATTATATTGTCAGCAAACTGTTCAAATGTTCCAAGCCCAGAAAAAAACAATTTTCAGGAGAGAAGGAAAACTTTCATTAAAAAAAATTGCACCTACATTGTTTATCTTTTCTTGCTTTTATCAATATTTACAATTTGAATTTTGAAAAAAATCTATAATTTCTCGACACAAGAAACTGATACCAGAGTTAAGAAACTGCAATAAATTTTTAAAAGTCAACATTTTGGGCTAGATACATTTGAAAAGCCAACGATATAGTGATCATGACCCCGGAAACATTTACACAGCAAAAAGTTGAATTCTCAGTTATTGTAACAAAAGTGAGTAAGAGACATAACAGTGTTCAATGGGATTACAATCATACGAACTCTTCAAATATTAAAGGATTCACGCACAAACATCAAATTGAACTTACACGAAGGATAAAACAGAGAAATAGCATGGTTTAGGATAAAAACCAGATGTATGGGATGTAAAGTAATTATTACATATCTGACACACAGCATAGTTTGACAACACTCCCGACTGTTGATTCTTTGAATGAACTGGCCATTTATTTCTTTATTAATCGATTTAATATTTGTCGAGGATTGAGGGATAGAACAAAACTGAAAGCACACTCTCAGTGAAACAAAAGCGTGCGATAACTCTTCGTACATTTTCACGGTTTGAATTTTCCGGAGAGAATAACCTGTCAGTTCATCCAGAAAATCAGCGGAATGTCTTTGGGCAAAAGTAAACTCCACCAACTGACGACTTTTCTTCTGGGTCTGAGTAGTTATGACACTCATAATGAGGGGAAATAGAAAACTGAGACTCTACAATACAGAGAGAAAGACAGAGTGTGAGTGAGCGACAGAGAGAGCGACAAAGACAGACAGAGACAGAGACAAAGAGAGACAGAGAGAGAGAAAGAGAGAGAGAGAGAGAGAGTGAGAGAGAGAGAGAGAGAGAGAGAGAGAGAGAGAGAGAGAGAGAGAGAGAGGGAGAGAGAGAGGGAGAGAGAGAGAGAGAGAAACAGGAAATCCAGTCCAAACACATTACATTGCCCCTGCAGACACACTATATCCTCTCCCCCCACTCACCCGTCCAATGCTGTGTAACAGAGCATGGACGTGCTCCGCCACGGCCGTAGCATCAGCGGCCGCCTGCTCCCTGTACACACTCTGTAGCTGGATGTATCGCTCAGAGTCTGCTGTCATGTCAGGGATCACACCTCGCACAGGAAGCTGACCTGCATAGGGGAAAAAGTGCCTGTACATCAGATTTTCTGTTTCTCCTTTTCTTTCTTTTTTTTGGGGGGGAAGGGGGGGGGGAAGGTTGTGCTTTTCTTTTCCACTCATTCCCCTCCTTTAATTTTTCACCAACGCTTTGAATTATTCATCAATTTCTGTCAAGCAGATGGATGAAATTTTATGGCTACCATAAAACTTACCACACAACTATCACAACCGCATGAACACAAACACTTGGTAGGAACACAGAAAGGACCCAGACAGGGGCGGCTGGTGGTTTGTGAAACTGACCAGCTATCATTCATATTGATCCTTCTCCGCCACTCTCCAACACACGTACACAAAGAGACACAGTAATTTATACCTGTATCTTTGCTCCCCCCCCCCCCCCCCCCCGCCTCCTTTTTCACAAAACAACACACTCACAAACACATGTAGAGCCCTTGGGAACATGGTCTCCTTCCACTAAAAAATGTACATAATGAAGTTAACGAGCTGATTTATAGTAGTCTGTAGAAACTTAGAAGCAAATTGATACCACACCACTGACGACGTCCTAAGCAGACCAAGTCTTTTTTTTTTTTGTGTAGAGGTTTTACGGCGCTCGCAACAGCATAAGGTCATACGAGCACCACATTAGAGGTGTTACAAGAGAGTAACAAACATAAAAAAGAAGAAGGGGAGATAAGGACGATAAATGTTTGACAGGAAAGAAGAAGCAAACCACACCAGACCAAGTCTAGGCAGAATCCGAAACAATTGGCCTACAATACACTTAACCACATACACATTGAATAAGGCAAGCACACAATAATTTCCAATCGCAATTCTACGTCAAATACTATTTTAGAAGACAGAGTTGGGCTGGATGAGAACGGAGAAGGGCTCTTTCCACTCCGAGGGCAATTGCTCAATTCATGACAGCAGCCGGTAACAACAACAACTTTGTGAGCCAGAGAGGGCGAGATAAACTGAGATATAGGAACAAGTTTCTGTGGAGTGACAACACATCAGCCAGCCCTTATTGTCTTTTTCAGCATATTTTTATACGGAAAGTGCTATTTAAATGTTGATAATTATCAATTTGGATTTACTTGAAAGCGAATATGAACAGTTATTAGCAGCCAATCTCTTGTCCACTATAGCTGACTAAAAGTGACCGGCTCAGCCCACCTTGCCCAATGAACAAACCGCCCCTGGGCCTAGATAAGAAATAAAATTTTTTCGTGCGTCTCACACACGATACCACACGAATGCGGATGTTTGGTTGGTGTGTACGAGGCGTGGTGGGCAAAGGGGTTTGGGGGAGGGATAGTTATTGGCTGTGAGTCTGAATTTAGTCTTTAAAAAAAAAGAAAGAAAAAAAAACAAAAAACAGACAGAAAAACAGAACATCATCAGCTTCTGATCCTGATTGTGTAACAGCAGTATCATTTTGCTCTGCCGCTCGTCGCAGTTAATACAATGTAGTTTCAAGTTTCAAACAATGATCCCTTGTTTGTTTGTTTTTTACATTCTCTCACTGGCTTAGGTCGTCTTCCACTACGCAAAAGCAGGAAATTTGAAACAACCTGTCAAGCTTACGTTTGCCTTAAGTAAGAATATAGCGACTACAATTTGCTATGCTTAAGACCTAATCCTGGCATTGGCGCAGTTATGCTTTTCCAAGGGGCAAAGTGACACTGAGTGTCTGCATGGGCTCTGTGCACAGAGTATGTATTGTATTGATGTAAAGTGTCAGGAACGGATTGTTTTTTTTTCTTCCTTATATTCCAAGAGGATGGGACTGGGTTAGGGTAGCCGTACGGCACATAAATTTGGAAAAATCGGGATCAAGGGTGCTATGATTGTATTTTCGAAAAAATTGAGAAAAAATCCTGACACTTCCGCCAAATTCATAGCGGTAGGCAGTCCTGCATACATGAAGATGAAAAATGTTTATGAGATGAGATGTGTTTTTTAAAGCATTTATGGACTGTCATTCAAGGCATCTATAAATCAGTATTGAAGGTGGATTTGAGTGCAGGGTGACTGCCAAACTGACTTCAAAACCCATAGCCCGTACCAATAAAAACTATAATAATATTCATTAAAACATATTTTCGGACAATAGCATACCTATAATATAAGGGCACTGATAAGTCCTTTGTGACTTTGGTATGACAGTCTAATTTAACTTAAAAATTTTTCCTCTGACCATTAAAAAAATGAATCCTGAACTGGGCCTGTGGAAAGGCTAGAACATCGACTGTCAAACCGTGTCTGGGTTTCAGCATTCACTGATTTTAAAAAGCGAGCAAGACACAAATTATCAAAGGAAAAACATTATAGTTGGGCTCAAGGTAGAGCAAAAGTCTCATGAAGAAATGGAAACTTTGAGCTTTTCGAGGGTTGAAAATGGCATTTTCCATTGCCTCTATTCAATTTGCCATCGAACCACTGACAGTAGATTATGCAAATCCCGAAACATTCAGCCATCTTGAGGACACATCAAGTCTGTACTTTAATTTTCCTCCATTTACGCATTTGGTTGTCAAATGTTACAACTTAAGAGCACCACTTCTACTTATCTTTTATTTGAGCAGCCTTATCCTGCTGTAGTAGAATCCTCATACTGACAAATTCTTTAGATCAAGAGGTTTGGAAGAGTTTCTTTCTGATACTGATTTTCTTTCGCCATTCAGATTCCTTGATCAACGCACAGATTTTCCAGCCACAGCAAAATCCCGAAAATAGACAGAAAGAATGAGTGAATGAAAGGATTGAGAAAGATAAGCAGTCGTAACTAGCCAGATATAAGCCGATTTGAAAGCGAAAAGGCTTTGCCGACTGACCCCTCATAGATTCACAGAGGAGTGCACAAAATGACAAAATTTGCAGTCTAGACAGTTTCTAATACAACGTATTGCCGTGAATTACTGTAAATATCTGAGAAGTTAGGGAGGCAAGTTCGGATCCTTTGCTACGGAATACCGATAAGCCTATACAATCTCTTTATCTCTGTCTTTTTCTTCGTAAACGTATGTAGTTGACACAATGATGCGGCAAGTACGGACCTTTCAGAACGTACGGGTGTCCATAAAAATCGGCAAGATTGGAAGCACTACAGAACAGACCCCATCACAAATCCGGTAGGTAGTTTTGACATCTTTATCGGTATGGCGGTAGTACAGGTCCAAAATCGGTAACCACCAGAAAAATAGGTAGATATAGGCAGCCCTGCTTCCAACCACCTACATTACTGGAATAACGACAACAAAATTGCCAATCACAAGCTTCCAAAAGAACAAGCTGAAAGCCTTACCATTTCCTTCATTTTCTGTGAATTCTTTCAAAGCTCTCATCAATACCCAGAAGTTCTTGGACTGAAAAAAAAAAAGAAAGAAAGAGGAGGTTGATACCCTACTTTCATAGTGTACATGTAAAATATATATTGGAACAAAAGAACATTATTCGTTGTTTTATTCTTGTATGGGTGTTTTAACAGATTCCTTGACACACTACAGCTAACGTCGCCTTTCCCTAGGCAACAGGGACAATAACCACTGAAAAAAGAATAGAAAAGGAACATTAAGTCTGAATTTGGTCTCAAGCTTTGGACAGAACACAACATCACAGTACACAAATCCACACGATAGTTGACACTTACCTCGATATTTAAATCAAGACAAGCAGGGTCACTGAACAAAGCTTTTACTTCTGATGGCACCTGGAGAAAAAAGAGAAAACAAAAACCATGAAGGTTTAAAGTAACAAAAACCTCACTTAAAACTAAATTTCTTGGGGGCCCTTGTTTTATTTTCCTGGATTTTTTGAGTAAAGAGAAACACAACAATCCAGTAATGGTTGTTTGGTGCCGGGACAGACAAGAAGCAGGACCTATCAATGGGCTAAGAAAGATATAAAAGGTATGGTAGTTTCAAGTTACGCGAGCGTCCAAAATGTCGCAAACACAAAAGAAAAAATAATAATACACATTTTGCATTTTGCTGTAAAAAAAATTGTATGACTCACAGCACCAGATCCGTAAAGTGAGTTTAAAACAGGTGTAAAAAGCTGACAAAGAGTCAAGTTATCAAAAGTGCTGGCAGTTCTACACTTTGGCTAAAACCATGAAAAAGTATTTGTATCGTGTTAGCACAACACCTTTTCCTTCCATTTCCTGCTTATGTCATGTACAAACCCCATCATGAGAAGAGTAAAATAAAAGCCAATGATTAAATTGAAGCCAATACATATAGAATTTGATATAAAATTATTGAAAGCATATATGGCAATGCGCAGAAACCCCCCACAACAGTCACTGCTATGGCCATGTCCTGTTCAAATACCTGTGTGTACCAGACAAAGCAGGTAAATACAAGAAAGATTGGCAATTACAGATGCACACTTTGAAATGAGGGTTGAATAAAAACAAAAGGTCAGCTCTTTTCTCAACAAAGAAAGAATAATAAAACAATATAGAGAAGTGTCCAGTCATACAAACAATGCTAAGAAAAACAAGACAGCAAAAACTCACGGAGGTCTTATGTAAACTTGAGTTGACATTTTTTATTGCCTCGTCAAAGTTCTCCTCTTCCTCAGGTACTCCCTCAGCATTTTTCCTCACACCTGTGCAAAAAACCCAACAACATTGCTGTTGTTATCATGGTCAGTTTACCACAATGACAACAAACAAGGAAAAAAAAAATTGCTGAGGTTTTGTCATTTTTATTGATCTATTGTTAACAAAAGCAGGATGATAAAGGTTATGATTCTTTCGGAATGTCAGTTTGGGGGTTTGAGTAAAATTGACACAATAATGGCAATTAAGTACACGGAAAAAGGCAATACAGACAGACAGACACCATAGGATATAAAAAAAAGATGAACAAACCGGTGGCATCATCCAATCAAGTACAGGACAGGATAAGTTTAAAGAGAAGATCCACAGAAAATCACACTAGAGCCCCCACAAACATGTTACAACAGTGAGATATTTATGGCTCTTGTGACAGTTCAGTGCCCAATGAATGGCAACTGTCTCTGTCTTATTGTTTCTATTAGGCATCCCTGTAGGCTGGCTTTACTAAGCACAGACTCATTTCTTTTCTCCTTCCAGGAATTTCTCAGCATTCTTCAAATACACTACTTTTCAGCTGCCAAAACAAAAACATAAAAAGCAGGAGCAGACCACACAGTGCCCACAGACTACCCCCTAAGATTGTAAGCAAGGATAAAAGTGAAAGAGAGACAGAAGAACTGGTATAAGGTAAAGCCGTCCAGGAAAATGAAGTAACAGCAATCAGCAGAGACAGACTTGCTTGTTTGAGTAAGGAGAAGCACATCCACACAATAACCATCATTTAGCACAAGGAAAAAGGCAAGACAGACAAACAGAAACAACAGGAGGATAGAAAAGAAGTAGGGCCTACCAGTGGCAGCTTCCAACCATGTGCACAGAGAGAGAGAGGGGGGGAGTGAAAAAACAAACAAACAAAAAAACAAACCCACAACAGATACATACCTTGTTTGATTAATTCTTTCAATGCATTTTTCTCTTTGTAGTTATTTGGTAATCTCTCCCCGTTCTGAAGAAAAATAAAGGATGAATAAATTTACCTAGCTTCTGGAGGCCGACACAAAAAGAATGAAAGGATCAGCCAATGGAGGTATTGTGAAGTCACAAAAGCTTTCAATCAAGCGATACAAATCTACAATAGATGTTCATGTATACTTAAACTTTTACAAAATTGCAAAAAGAAAAAGGAAAGTGCATACTATAATTTGTTCTTTCAAACTAATTTAGACAATAAATAACTAGTTACTTTTTTCTCCACTTAAAAAAAATTAATGCTCATGCACATTAAGTTGGACACCAACGATATTATACTCTGTCACATTTTTAAGTACACACATTCTAAAGCTAAATGAAAAAAAAATTTATGCCACCAATAACTTTCAAATTTACACTCTGACTACATAATATACATGTTGCCGGTGAGGATTTTTTTCAGATTTCTGAACGCGCGAATGGTTTCGTTACTGGCTGCGAGTTACATGTTTTGTATTTTTTGAGAATTACTCATGACAGGGGAAAGATTTATTTGAAAAAGAGTACACTTCAAAGCTTTATCATTTTTGTAACAATTCGCCAATGATTAAACTTGTGTTGTCTACGTTTCATGCTGCAGACCTGCCACTCTATGAAACCTCAAAATCAGGATCTCAGGGAGAAAAAAATCGGGATTTGGTGAAAAAAATTGGGATCAACAGCAAATCACCAAGGTGACTGCCAAAGCTGACTTAAAATTTTTCCTGGGGTGTCCATAAATTCCTTGGCCTATATGCCCTCTGTGTGTCTTTGTTTGTTTGCGTGCGTGTGTATGTGTAAGCGTGTGCGTGTGTGTGTGTGCGTGCGTACGTGCGAGTTATCCTTATTTTTTTAAAAATCCTGAAGTATCGCTCCAAGCACTCCTAGTCCAAGTGTCTATACCCCCCCCCCCCTCACCAATAAGTCCCGAAATACATGAACTTAAGTTGACCCCGTCAACGGACGGTCCCCGACACGCAGAACTCACACGGCGATGATATGTCACGTGTCGCGAATGCGCGATTGAAAAAATTTTACTAACAGGTCGAACTAACTGCGCGTTCACACCGAACACTCGGATGAGCGACAGTCGTTTTACTTCTAGAATAACGACGGCGGCCGACCGACCAAATGTACCAACAAATCTCTTATCCCTCATAATGTGTTAAGACAAAAGCAACGACAACGGTCGTATGTTAGTCTTGTTAGCGCAGTTACATGTAGTTATGTAAGGGTTAGAAAGACTGTCGCACGTCCGAGTGTTTGGTGTGAATGCGCATCTACCAGACCTCGGACAAGGCTTGTTTTGAAAGTAACTGCAGAACTACGAATATTATCGATTATTAAATGTCCCAAATTGTAACAGTTACCAGGCTCTGAGTGCGGTAAAAGATCACACACAACTTGGGGCGAGTCAACTACTAAATGTGGCATCGATATTTCAGGAAATAGTGCTCCGAGTTCCTACTGACAAAAAGTTCGACGGGTGCTTCTCGCGATAAAAGAGAAGGCATAGTAAGTTTTTAGAAAGATCCGGCACAACAGCAGACTGGGACAAAAAATCGGGATACACGCGATCGAATCGGGAAAATCGGGAGGATTGAGATCTGGGGCAAAAAATCGGGATATCCAGACTAAATCGGGATGAGTGAAAGGTCTGCATGCTGCCACGCTTAAGAGAAAATGTGCTAAATCAGCTTGTTGGAATGATCCGTGGGGGTGTCTCAATATCCACTGTTGCGAGACTTTTTAATGTACAAAGAAGAACTGTGTACGCAAAAATGGATTGTGAGAGAACAGAATCAGAAAAGGATCAAACCCTTTGACTTGGGAGAAAAAAAAACTACTCCAAGAGAGGATCTTTTTACACGCCTGTTGCATCTACGGAATCAGTTCAAAATGGCAAAACGAATCAGATATGAATTGAAAAACATGCGACAACACCAGCCTCAGACACTTCCTCTACTTGAGAAAGCATTGCATGAAGAGTGGAATAACATCCCTCAACAGGCAGTGCAGCCACTGATTGATTCCATGCAGCGACGATGTCAGGACCTCATTAGTGCAAGAGAACATCATACTTGCCACTAATCGAGTTACTTTTGTTGACCACAACCACACTCTTGTAAGTCCGGAATAAACCCTGTTATTTTAGCTTTCCATATTATTGTTGTTCTATCATTTTTAGAAATGATTGATTTAATATTCCTGAAATTTTTAAGAATATCGGCTCATTGTGAAACTAGCTATTTTTATTTTAACACAGCGTATATTTTAAAATGTGACAGTATACATGTCTCAATTATAATTTGTTACTGGCTTACCTCCTGTTGCCAAAACTGCAGGTACTTGTAAATCAAAACCAACCAGGGAGTGTGTGAGTGGTCCTGTTTAGAAATACAACACGAAGCACAAATAAGACACATTGAGGGTTTAGGGTAAGAGAAATAGTCAATATACCCGCGTTACAACTGCCCTTTGGTGAGAGGGGAAAAAAAAAGACAGACAGACAGAAACAACAGAGGGAAACAAAATCTAGATCTAGGTCAAGTGCTTTAATTTAAGTTTTTTTGCTGTTTTTCAGCACAGATTTGCTATTGTACAATATATTATAATGAGATACAACTTTATTGATCATGTAAAGTACAACGAAGAAGCAAAAATGTACTTAAAGATGCAATTTTCCTTCCAAAATGAGACAGACAGAAACAACAGAGAGAAACAAAAAGTAGAATCTACCAAAGGTG